TTTGGTCATTTTGGTCAGGTGCCAACGAGTTTCTTAACCCTTTACAAGTGAAAGGGTTTTTCCTCTGGCCAGAAGGGATTTAAAGGTGTTTACCCTTCCCTTTATATTTATGACACAAGTACAACATACAAAATCAGGAGGAAACCCCAACATTCCTTTATAATTATATTTATAAATCCACAACTATTTATATGCAAAATATAGAGCCTAAAAACTAAACAATGGAGGTGATTAAGTACAGTGCTTTTCAAGTAGCAAGAAGACACCCTTACTGACAAATAGTTGAAGATGTATTTGAATGTCTTTTTTCAATATTGGGACCATTGAGAACAGTCATTACTGTACTAAAGAACCAGTCTCCAACTTCAGTCAGAATATATTTTGTTTAGTACCTATTGCAGATTCTGGCAGGTTTGACAATGCAATATTTAAATTTAGTTACAGGGTTAATGTATCCCAAAATCCCAATTCCCAAACCATTTTAACACTCAACAGAATGGAAGTCTATAAATATTATGTGACAAGCTGTTTTGTCTGAGTTTTCTTTTTCTTCACCCCCGCCCCCACACTCCCAGAACCAAGCCTTGAGTGAAGGGCAGCCTGTCAGCCTTACTCTGAATTTCCTGGCTTTTGTTGATTTCTGTCCCAGCCTCAAGGTTGTCCAAATGAATGGGATATTTTTGCCTTTTAATTTCCTTTAAAACAAACCCAATAAAGATGGAAATATTCCATGAAACGCTAGACATGTTTACTTGGAAAATGTAGACTGACCACAAATGGGTAAATATGTATTTAGATAGTTTGTTGTATCAGATTGTGGTATCTGAACCCCAGAAATCTACATTTTATATGTGTATAATATTTTTTAAAAGGAAATCATTATTTAACTAGTCCCATATTGAGACCATACATGCCAACTCTCAGGGTAAATTTCTGGTCCTGTTTGAAGCCCGTGAAAACTTTGCCACTGACTTCAGCACAGCCAGGATTTCACCCTTAATACGGAAGGATCATTTGGCTAATTATAAATCTTAAAAACCAGACTACATCACATAATTGATTTTGAAGCAGATGTCCCTATTGTTGGGAGGTCTGCTTAAAATTTGATCATACAATATGGCTTCAGGAGTTTATGATGGATGTCTCATTTCAACCATCATTCTGCAAGCACACTGCTACTAAAACTATAGCTGTTTACAGCTGAAGAGTCAGCTACTTGTCCAACTTCAACCTCAGCCTCTGATCCTACTGTGATGCTGGCAAATGGTGCCAGCTCATGCCGAACCCCCATGTCTCAGTTGAACACTGACAAAAACATAGCTGGAATTATTCTGGCTCACCTGTGTATTGGTATTGCTAAAATAGGTATTAGAGATATAAAAATGTACTTGGTATTTAGACTTTATTGAATGTTTATAAATTGCTGCATGCATTTATCTCCCTTAAAACATCTGTATCCTACCTTGTAAAGTCATATTTAAGTGTCTGCATTGTAAGCCTCTTTAAGTGTGTAAATCACCAGACATGAAAGAGACATGAATTACTGTGAAATACTGCCTTCCAACAGAAGGTGTTAGGTCCTGCCCAAGAGAGAAGGCCCATCGACACCCATCCAACTATTGTGGAACATCAGAGGACAAAGATTTTGTTGATTGCTCTCCCCTCATCCCATGAAGAGGAGACATGAAAGTGAATTCCTCCCATCAGCTAAGGCCTTGTCTACACTGCAGAGTTTTGTTGTCAAAGGCAGCTTTTGGCAATGAAATACCGGAGGTGAACACACTCCAAGGCCAGTTTTGGTGACAGAATAAAACCACCTCGACGAGTGGCATAAAGCTTTTTGTGGCAAACTTAGGGCATGGCTACACTGGAAACTTCAAAGTGCTGTTGCGGGAGCACTCCTGCAGCAGCGCTTTGAAGTGCAAGTGTGGTCACGTGCAGCGCTGGGAGAGAGCTCTCCTAGTGCTTTTGGTAATCCACCTCCATGAGGGCATTAGCTCCGAGTGCTGGGAACGCGGCTCCCAGGCAGCGCTCGGAGCCTGTTTACACTAGCGCTTTAAAGCGCTCTGACTTGCTGTGCTCAGGGGGGTGATTTTTAACCCCCCTGAGCCAGCAAATTAGAGCGCTATAAAACATAAGTGTAGCCAAGCCCGTAAAGTGACAAAGGGTCAGTGTAGATATTGCACCCCTTGATAATCTGTACCTTATTCCCTGATAACCAGAAACTTCTATGCTTAAACTCTGTACCATTTTCTTTTTATTTTAACATCATCTTAATAAAATTATTAAATCTGCTGTTTGTTATATCACCAGAACTGCCCTCCCCAGTATCCTACAATGCCCACCTTGACAGCTCTTCTCACTGTTTTGAAATCAGCTGCCCTGCAGGCATGCACTCCCTCACTTTCCAAGCTCCAGGAAGTTCTGACAGCTGAGCATGCCACTCTGCTCCAGCAGCAAAGAGTGAATCATTAACATGGAATGTTCCTGCTCTCCCCTGCACTATAAACACAGAGGCAGGCAGGAGTGTGTGTGTGAGAGAGAGAAACTGCTGTGCTGGGCAGAGCCAGGGAGGCAAGCAGGGGCTGATGTAAGGAGCTATTCCCTCTGTCACAGTGCAAGACTCACCCCTGCTGCACCTCATAGAATCATAGAATATCAGGGTTGGAAGGGACCTCAGGAGGTCATCTAGTCCAACCCCCTGCTCAAAGCAGGACCAATCCGCAATTTTTGCCCCATATCCCTAAATGGCCCCCTCAAGGATTGAACTCACAACCCTGGGTTTAGCAGGCCAAAGCTCAAACCACTGAGTTATCCCTCCTCCCCTCCTGCTGGTCTCTCAGGGAATTAGCTCTTCCAGCCTCCAGAGCGCCCTCTGCAGGCCAGTGTTTCACTGCCACTGGCCCCCGTGTCACTCCTGAACCCAGATGCCCCTTTTCCCCCCAGGGTGCTGCCCCCTGGCAGTACCCCCACAGTCTCTGGGTCTCCCCTATCCCTATCCCCACCTTGCCTCAGTATATGGCTACTGCCCAGTCACCATCTAGCCCCCGCACTCTGGGTCGGACGGCAGTGTATAAGCCAATCATCACAGGCAAGGGGGGTTTGGACCTGCTGCCTCCACCTACCCGTGGGCTGCCCCCTGCAATCCCAGTACCCTTTTTGGCCTTACACTTGGCCTGCAGGGTTTCCAGGCCAGAGCTCCCCATTGCCCTTGGCCTTCCCCCAGCACTGCTCCACCTCAGGTACTCTGGTACACTCCCCAGCAGCCAGGCCTGTCTCCTAGAGGAGACTCTCTGCTCCTGGCCCACTGCCCTGTTATAAGGGCCAGCTGAGCACTGATTGGGGCATGGCCACAGCTGAGCCTGCTTCCCCCAATCAGCCCGGGAACTGCTTGCTCCCAGGCACAGCCCTCTTCTGGGCTGTTTTAAGCCCTTTAAGGCCAGATCAGGTGACCACCCCGTTTACACCCTCCCACCCCCAGCCTCAGGACTGATTGCTTCTGGCGGCTGTCTGAGCTTAAAGACAGCATGCCGACACACTCACTCTCCTGCAACACACAGACTCCCCCAACACTCTCTCTGTCTTTAGGGTTGCCAGATGTCCGGTTTTCGACCAGAATGTGCGGTCGAAAAGGAACCCTGGCAGCTCCAGTCAGCACTTCTGACTGGGCCGTTAAAAGTCTGGTCATCAGCGCAGCGAGGCTAAGGTAGGCTCCCTGCCTGCTGTGGCTCTGCGCAGCTCCAGGAAGATGTACCCCCTCTGGCTCCTATGTGTAGGGGCAGTCAGGGGGCTCCGCACACTGCCCTGTCACAAGAGCCAGTTCCGCAGCTCCCATTGGCTGGGAACCGTGGCCAATGGGAGCTACAGGGGCGGTGCCTGTGGACAGGGCAGCACACAGAGTCACCTGTCTGTGCCTCCATGTAGGAGCCAGAGAGGGGACATGCCACTCCTTCCAGGAGCTGCTTGAGGTAAGCACCGCCTGGAGCCTGCACCCCTGACCCCCTCCCAAGCCCCAATCCCCTGCCCAGCCCTGATCTCCCTCCTGTCCTCTGAACCCCTTGGTCACAGCCTGGAGCACCCTCCTTCACCCCAAGCCTCTCATCCCCAGCCGCACCCCAGAGCCCGCACCCCCAGCCAGAGCCCTCACACCCCCTCCGCACTCCTGTCCCAGCCCAGAGCCCCATCCCACACTCCTAATCCCTCATCCCCAGCCCAGAGCCCCCTTCTGCACCCCAAATCCCCCAGCCCCACACCAGAGCCTGCACCCTCAGCCAGAGCCATCGCCCTCCCCTCCCAACCCCCTGCCCCAGCCCAGAGCCTCCTCCCATATTCCAAACCCCTTGGCTCCACCCCCCCCAGCCTGGAGCCCCCTCCTGCTCCCCAAACCCCTCATCCCTGGCCCACCCCAGATCCTACACCCCAACCCCCTGCTCCAACCCAGTGAAAATAAGCAAGTGAGTGAGGGTGGGGAGAGCGAGCAACAGAAGAAGGGGGGATGAGTGAGAGAGGGCGGGGCCTCAGGGAAGGGGCAGGACCTCAGAGGAGAGGCAGGGCAGGGGGCAGGGCAAGGGTGTTCAGTGTTGTGCTAGAAGAAAGTTGACAACCCTATCTGTCTCTCTCACATACACGCTCCTTCCCACTCTCTCTGACTCCCCCACCACATGCTCCCTGTCACACTCTCACCCCCACATACTTCAGTTGAAAAACAGCTGGCAACCTAGTAGGATGACCATGGAACAATGGTATTGAGAAACCTGCATCATGTGATGCTATACCTGTCCTATGAGGCATTGTAAACCCTCGCAAAGCACCCTGTGGCCAGTTTCATAGTGGGATAGCTACCAATAGTGCACTGCTCTCTGTGTCGATGCAAGAGCTGCTAGTGTGGATGCACTCTGCCAACATGTGGACACGCAACAGGGGTTTAATTAAAGTGCTTTAATTAAAGCAGCATAACTTTTGGTGACTGTCGCAGGGCAAGTGCACCCCATCCCCTCTTGCGGTGAGGTAATTGCTTCCCCGTGGTCACGTCCTGATAACCAGCCTTTGTCTTGGGGTGGTGAGGGCTAACTGTAAAAGTCAATATGGCTGTTCTCCTCTCAAGGTTGTGTGGCCCAATGGCCAGAGTCAGTTACAGTGGCCCTTGCATTCAGAGTCAATATAACAGCCTCCAGATGCAGGGCAATGTGGCCTAGTGACCAGTACACGGGGGACCACTCAAATCCACCACGCCCCGACCCAGGACCCTAAGAGTGACTGAGTGTCCACCACTGGGTCATTGGGAAATCCCAACGAAACATGTTGACCTCACTTGGGTGAGAGATACCACTCACTCACCCTCCCTGGGTCACTTTTCACTGTGTTTCCCAAAGCTGCAGTCCATCAGGTACCAAGAGTCTCCTGGCTCCTCAGCGTGGATGATTCCCTAAGACTCTGCTGGCCACAGACCTCCAGTCTGACTCTCAGGATCTCTGGCTCCTGCAGGCAAGGGCTGTGACGGCTCTTCAGCTGAAGCCTCCGCCCAAGGTCCTTTCCCTCTGGCGGCCAGCCCTGAATGAGCTGAGCTGCTCTCTTTTATACATAGTCTCCAGCTGGAACATGCCCAGTGTGGGGCAAGTGCTCCCCATCACAGCGACAAAACTCTGAAATGTAGACATAGCCTTAATTTGTAACTTGAAGCAGCAGTGGGGAAAGAATAAAAAGATTTAACAAGGAGGAACAGTATTTCTGTGCAGTTTGGACTCTTGAGGGCAAGTTTTTCTAGGTATAAACAAAAGATCCTCACTATTTAGCCTGGGTTAGCCCTAAGGGACATAGAGAGCTTGCTCATTACAGAAGCTTTTGAAACTGAAGACTGTAACTCTTTTTTGTGTGTATATGTTTATCTGCTTTAACCTTGTAAATAACTCTCATTTCCCTTTCTTGTATAATAAATCTCTAAGTAGTTTATTGTAGTATTGGCAGCAAGTATTGTCTTTGGTGTGAGATCTAAAGAGCAATTGGTTTGGATTAAGTGACTGGTCCTTTGGGACTGGAAGTAACCTGAATATTGCTGTGATTTTTGGTGTTAGAGACCATCTACCACAAAGGCAAGCTTGCCTTGGTGACAAGATAGATCAGAGCACCCAAGGGGACTGTCTGTGACTCAGTGGTTAGGCAGTTATAGTGCCTGAGGAGTTTATACTTGATGGGTGAAATTGAAGTACAGAACACACAGCCAGTTGCGGGTTTGCGCTCTGTCTCTTAACAGTCTGCCCGGAGATTGATATTCATATTCTTGACCCACTGCAGGACAGTTTGACACTTACAAGCCTTATTTGTGTGAAGCCCACTGTCTTCCATTGGACTACTCACATGTGTAATGGTTGCTCATGTATGCAAAGCCTGCAGAATTGTGGTCTGACATATCAAGTAATTTATAACACAAATGATCTATCTTAATGTACCATCTTCCTTTTGCCTTTAGGTATATTCGACAGATTAATAATCACTGGGTTTGTTGGGAGGGGCAGATATCCCTACTAGTCATTAGGGTAGAAATTGTTTCTGAGAACTCATAGACCCATAGACTCATAGATATTAAGGTCAGAAGGGACCATTATGATCATCTAGTCTGACCTCCTGCACAATGCAGGCCACAGAATCTCACCCACCCACTCCTGCAATAAACCTCTCACCTATGTCTGAGATATTGAAGTCCCCAAATCATGGTTTAAAGACTTCAATGTGCAGAGAATCCTCCAGCAAGTGACCCGTGCCCCATGCTACAGAGGAAGGCGAAAAAAACCCAGAGCCTCTTCCAATCCGCCCTGGAGGAAAATTCCTTCCCTACCCCAAATATGGTGATCAGCTGAACCCTGAGCATATGGGCAAGATTCACCAGCCAGATACCCAGGAAAGAATTCTCTATAGTAACTCAGATCCCATCCCATCACAGGCCATTGGGCCTATTTACCATGAATAGTTAAAGATCAATTAATTGCCAAAATCATGTTATCCCATCATACTATCTCCTCCATAAACTTATCGAGTTTAATCTTAAAGCCAGATAGGTCTTTTGTCCCCACTGCTTCCCTTGGAAGGCTATTCCAGAACTTCACTCCTCTGATGGTTAGAAACCTTAATCTAATTTCAAGTCTAAACTTCCCAATGGCCAGTTTATATCCATTTGTTCTTGTGTCCACATCGGTACTGAGCTTAAATAATTCCTCTCCCTCTCTGGTATTTATCCCTCTAATATATTTATAGAGAGCAATCATATCTCCCCTCAGCCTTCTTTTGGTTAGGCTAAACAAGCCAAGCTCCTTGAGTCTCCTTTCATAAGACAGGTTTTCCATTCCTCGGATCATCCTAGTAGCCCTTCTCTGTACCTGTTCCAGTTTGAATTCATCCTTCTTAAACGTGGGAGACCAGAACTGCACACAGTATTCCAGATGAGGTCTCACCGGGTGCCTTGTATAATGGTAGTAACACCTCTTTATCTTTACTGGAAATACCTCGCCTGATGAATTCCAAGACGGCATTAGCTTTTTTCACGGCCATATCACATTGGCGGCTCATAGTCATCCTGTGGTCAACCAATATTCCAAGGTACACCATCTTATTCTCACCCCCCCCACACCACCACCACACCACCTTATGGTGGTGGGGGGGGGGTGAGAAAACCTGGATTTGTGCTGGAAATGGCCCAACTTGATTATCATACACATTGTAAGGAGCGTGATCACTTTAGATAAGCTATTACCAGCAGGAGAGTGGGGTGGGAGGAGGTATTTTTTCATGCTTTGTGTGTATATAAAAAGATCTTCTACACTTTCCACAGTATGCATCCGATGAAGTGAGCTGTAGCTCACGAAAGCTTATGCTCAAATAAATTGGTTAGTCTCTAAGGTGCCACAAGTACTCCTTTTCTTTTTGCATCCTATTACTGTTACTCCAGTTTACAAGGTCATCCAGATCCTCCTGTATGATATCCCGGTCCTTCTCTAAATTGGCAATACGTCCCAGCTTTGTATCATCTGCAAACTTTATTAGCGAACTCCCACTTTTTATGCCGAGGTCAGTAATAAAAAGATTAAATAAGATTGGTCCCAAAACTGATCCCTGAGGAACTCCACTGGTAACTTTCCTCCAGTCTGACAGTTCACCTTTCAGTATGACCCGCTGTAGTCTCCCCTTTAACCAACTCCTTATCCACCTTTCAATTTTCATATTGATCCCCATCTTTTCCAATTTAATTAATAATTCTCCATGTGGCACCATATCAAATGCCTTACTGAAATCTTGGTAAATTAGATCCACTGCATTTCTTTTGTCTAAAAAATCTGTTACTTTCTCAAAGAAGAAGATCATGTTGGTTTGGCACGATCTACCTTTTGTAAAACCATGTTGTATTTTGTCCCATTTACCATTGACCTCAATGTCCTTAACTACTTTCCCCTTCAAAATTTTTTCCAGGACCTTGCATAGTACAGATGTCAAACTAACAGGCCTGTAGTTACCTGGTTCACTTTTTTTTTCCCTTTCTTAAAAATAGGAACTATGTTAGCAATTCTCCAATCATACGGTACAACCCGTGAGTTTACAGATTCATTAAAAATTCTTGCTAATGGGCTTGCAATTTCATGTGCCAATTCCTTTAATATTCTTGGATGAAGCTTATCTGGGCCCCCCCATTTAGTACCATTAAGCTGTTGGAGTTTTGCTTCTACCTCAGATATGGTAATATCTACCTCCATATCCTCATTCCCATTTGTCATGCTACCATTATCCCTAAGATCCTCATTAGCCTTATTAAAGACTGAGGCAAAGTATTTGTTTAGATATTGGGCCATGCCTAGATTATCCTTAACCTCCATTCCATCCTCAGTGTTTAGCGGTCCCACTTCTTCTTTCTTTGTTTTCTTCTTATTTATATGGTTATAGAACCTTTTAGTATTGGTTTTAATTCCTTTTGCAACGTCCAACTCTACTTGACTTCTAGCCTTTCTCACTTTATTCCTACATGTTCTGACCTCAATAAGGTAGCTTTCCTTAGGTAGCTCCCATCTTCCACTCCCTGTATGCTTTCTGCTTTTTCTTAATCACCTCTCTGAGATGCTTGCTCATCCAGCTTGGTCTACAACTCCTGCCTATGAATTTTTTCCCCTTTCTTGGGATGCAGGCTTCCGATGGCTTCTGCAGCTTTGACTTGAAGTAATCCCAGGCCTCCTCTGCCTTTAGATCCACAAGTTCTTCAGTCCAATCCACTTCCCTAACTAATTTCCTTCATTTTTGAAAATCAGCCCTTTTGACATCAGAAACCCTTATCACAGATTTATTTTTGTTTATCCTTCCATTTAGTTTGAACTGGATTAGCTCACGATCACTTGAACCAAGGTTGTCCCTAAAACCATTTCTTCTATGAGGTCCTCACTACTCACCAAAACCAAATCTAAAATGGCATCCCCTTCAGTCGGTTCAGCAACTACTTGCTGAAGGAATCCATCAGCTATCGCATCTAGGAAAATCTGAGCTCTCTTATTATCACTAGCACTCGTCCTCTAGTCTATATCTGAGAAGTTAAAGTCTCCCATGATCACGCAGTTTCCATTAGTATTTACTTCATTAAAAACATTAAAGAGGGCGCTATCCATATCCAAATTAGATCCTGGCGGTCTATAGCACACCCCAAGTACTATCACAGGGCAGGCTCTAGTCGTTTTCTTCCCCAATGTGATTTTTGCCCAGATGGACTTAGGTATGTACAGATACTCCTGTAATCTGTACATACCTAATATTTCTAGTGTTTCTGCATGAGTCTGGATATTTACCCATGCAATCTACAGTTCTGGGATTATTACTCAGAAAGACAAAAGAATCAAAATTCTTAAAGGGAAGAATGAACTGGGAAAGAAACATGTCATCTTCAAACTACAGGGCTGGGTCTTCCAGCCAATGCTATTAGCAGCCCAAACAATCCTTTATCTACCTAGAAATAACTAACACTAAGATTGACAAGATTGCTGCCAACATGGACCCTATAACAGTAACCACTGGAGCTAGCAAACACTGATCCTGGTAACCATACTTATGCAAGTGTTTCTTGAAATATATTGTGAGTTCATACACAAGATGGTACATCAAAGTAATGAACTGTATCAGCAGTAGCTTCCTTCTAGACAGATAGATTAAGGGTGAAATCCTGGCTCCACTGAAGTTAATGGCTAACCTCTCATTGAATTAAATAGAACCAAAATGTCACACTAAAAATTTCACTGTTGAGCAGGGCCTATGACCACTAACACAGCAGCTGAGGATCTGCTCCTGGGGCCTCAAGTCAGCTAAACATTCAAGCATACGTTTAACTCACATAGATGTCAAAGGGACTTCGGCACATGCTTAAAGTTAGGGACACACTGACTAGCTCTGCTGAAAATAGACCTCATTCAATATTGTAGAAAGGTTGTTAGCATGTGCCAATTCTGTTAAAATTTCTACAAATGTAATTTATTTGGCAGTAATATGTTTGTACTCAGCAAATTTAATTAAGCATTTCCACTAATTTTATACAAAATATAAAGTGAAAGAGTTGTTAAACTTTTGAATGAGGAAAAGAAAAGTTTGTTTTAAGCTTGACTGTTATAGATATATTTTTGGCTTAGTGCTCGAGATATCATATAATGAGTTTTGGATTAACATTTTAAACACCACAGTCTATCTGAAGCTGGTAAGCAAAGATAAAGTGAAGAGTACTGAAAAAATTAAAATACAGGCATGCACACACACACACAAAAACAAAACCGTGAGGCAGTTTGGTTTCTTAAGGCTTTAAAAAAGAATACAAACAACTTTTATTTATGGTTGTCTTTGAAAATGTTTTATCTACTTCTCCCACTTAGGTATTATGGAAACAGATAGAAACAATTTAAAGGATTCCAATAAAAACAATTTGGCTTTGATATATTGCCCCATATTAGCCGTTCAGTCTCCTGTGTCAAAACCAGGGTTCTCTAGAGCAATATAACAAAACATTCTTGTTGCCGTTTTTATTCTTGACTTCTCAACAGTCATATGATTCTTCAGGAGAAGCAGCAATTCTGAGAGAAAACTTCAGCTCAGATGAGTCAGTTTCAATCACAGAGCCATGAAAAGGGATTGTATATGGCAGCCCACGCACCAGACCCTAACCACAGTGTAATGGTGGGTGCCAAATGCGTGCCAGTGCAGTTTGGAGGCTTTTCTGAGTGTATATGCTTTCAAGGCCTTGCCTTCTCTGAATCCCATGATTTTTTCTCCTCCATCACAAATCTCATATTTCTTTCTATACCCAGTCACATCTTCCCTCGTCTGCCACTTCTCCTGGGCCTCTTGCAGTTCCCCTAGCATGCTGATATCCACAGGGGTCTGACAACGTTTTTATCTATATACCCCCATCACTACAGTGTGTGAGTGACTTACAATCTCGGAATTATTTATCCTCACAACTGCTTTCTCTTACTCCTACTTACACATCTTGTTGATTCTGCTACCAATCTTTCCATCCCATACACAGACTTTTGCTTACAAGGCCAGATCCACAGTTGGTTTACCAGATGAGGATCTGGCCAGCAGTGGTGGGTTATTGATGTGTTACTTACGTCATTTAAAACTCCTCTACAAGTCACTCTCTGTGATTAACTTTTACCCTGTCTTGTTTTATCCCCTGTGAGATAGAGAAGTACTATCCCCATTGTACAGATGAGGAAGTGAGGCACATAGAGACTCACTGATTTGCCCAAAATCACACAGGAAGTCTGTGGCAGAGCAGGGAATGTCCCAGACTAGCATGCTAGCCAGTGGGGCAAACTTCCTCTCTTTGTGAGCTAAAATCTGGCATTTTGTAAATCCTGGCCAAGAAATTTTGTGTGCTCTACCAAGTTTCTCCAGTTCTGAAAAACCCCAAAGGGCTCTCCTCCTCCTAGTGCTGGGGAAGCCCTGGAACTTGCAAGATGTGATGGCAGCATATGCTAGTGTACCAAAAATTGCCAGCTCTGCAGAGATCCCAGAATGGATCTGAGCACAGATAGGAGGGCTCCCGTGGTCCTTTTAACAGAGGTGATGGAGAGGGTATGACCTTTTAACCTTTTCAAACCTAAAAGACTTTCTGGTTCAGTTCAGTTTGAAATTCGAGCTCATCTATAAAATAAGGGTAATAAACACATCCTTTGTCTGGCTTTTCTCTTTGGATTGTGAGAGCCACTTTTCTCATTTGAGCTTGCATGTGTAGGTTTCAGAATCCTGGTTGAATTCAGACCTGAAGTGAATAGTATTGTAAACTAAACATTGGTAATGCACTGCAAGATTTGTTAAGCCTCTGGGCGTGCTGCAAGGCCCATATTCTCTGTCAGACACTTGAGGAGGAGGCAGGTTGATCTCCTGGGGTTGTTTGTCATTGACATTGTTCTTTTGTGGCGCATGAACACACTCAAATGTTATTATAAGTTTATATTTTTTTGCAAGAATGTAACTTCTAAGTCCCTGAGCCTGGGACGGCCACTTATTAATTGAATAATTCAGACCTTTACTAATCAAAATAAATATTATTTATTTATGTATCTATTATTAATTGTATTGTGGTAGTTTCTTGGAATCCCAGTCATGGGCCAGGGCCCTTTGTACGAGGTGCTGTACAAATACAGAACAAAAAGACAGTCCCTGCTCCAAAGAGCTTAGAATCTTAAATACAAGACAAAGCAATGGATACAGACAAACTTACAGGAGAGAACACAGGAGCAGTACGACAATATTGGTCATCCTGGCAGGCAAATAAATAGGATAATTAAATGGATGCAAATTAGCATAGTCTAGATGCCGAGGGGGTGAAAGGGTTTAGTTGTAGTGGGAAAAGCAAACAATGGGAGGGCGTATGATGTCAAAGAACTAGACAAAATGTGTCAGTAGTCAGCTTCATCTTATACTGTCTCTGATGGCCTGCTTTCTCTTACTCCTACTTACACACCTTTTTGATTCAGCTACCAGTCTTTCCATCCCATACACTGACTTTTGCTTACAAGGCCAGATCCACAGTTGATGTACCAGATGAGGATCTGGCCAGCAGCGATGGGTTATCGATGTGTTACTTACATCATTTAAAACTCCTCTACAAGTCACTCTCTGTGATTAACTTTTACCCTGTCTCATTTTAAAAGATTATTTAAATACTCCCCTATTACTAATATGGCTGTTTTCATAGGTAACATGTTTTATATGACCTGAACTCTTTTAGTTCTTACACTGCTTTTTTTTTTTTTTTTTTGGTATGCTAGTGAAATGTGTTGTATCAGATAAGGCTTATAGCTACATCTGCAAAATCATCTGACTTAGTTGTCAGGTGCTGAAAAGGGATATTTAATTAAATAGCAACTTCACCAAAGTTATACCTTGACATTCATAGATTCTAAGGTCAGAAGGGACTATCATGATCACAGACCATTGAACTTCCCCAGAATAATTCCTAGATAGATCTTTTAGAAGAACATCCAGTCTTGATTTAAAAATTGTCAGTGATGGAGAATCCACCACAACCTTGGTGGTTAATTACCCTCACTGTTAAAAATGTATGCCTTATTTCCAGACTGAATTTGTCTAGCTTCAATCTCTAGCCATTGGATCATGTTATACCTTTCTATGCTAGATAGAAGAGCCCATTATTAAATGTTTGTTGCCTGCGTAGATACTTGTAGACTGTAATTAAGTTACCCCTGACCTTCTCTTTGTTAAGATCATTGATAGAGCTCTTTGGGTCTATCACTGTAAGGCATGATCCTTTAATCATTCTCGTAGCTCTTCTCTGAACCCTCTCCAATTTATCAATATCCTTCTGAATTGTGGGCACCAGAACTGAACATAGCATTCTAGCAGCAGTCACACCAGTGCCAAATATAGGGGTAAAATAACCTCTCTACTCCTACTCAAGATTCCCCTGTTTATGCATCCCAGGATTGCATTAGCAATTTTGGCCACAGCGTCAGATTGGGAGCTCATGGTCAGCTGATTTTCCACCACAACTGCCAAATCTTTTTCAGAGATTTATTTGCTCAAATTCTGTTCATGCCTATGTTCTGGTAGAACAGCGTCACTTACTGTATAAACGGCATGTTTAAGAAAATCCTTGTGAATACTAATTTTGTAAATGACCTGATGCATGCTGTCTTTTTAGAGTCAACTCATGCCTGCATTTGATATGTGCTTTTCTGATACTCAAAAACCCGAGCTTCTGAAAAGTCTGTTGCAAATCTTCCCAAAAGACATTCAGTCTGGAAACGCACCCAGAAATTCCCAGGTTTACCTGAACTATTGAACTGAACTGTTTTAGTCTGGAATTTGGCTGGAAATCTTGTGAGAAGAGGCTATCTCAGGAGACTTCTGGTAATTCCAGCTTTCATTGAAAACAGACACTGAAAGGTGATCAGCTGTCCCTTAGCATTCTGCCACATCTGTTTCTGTATTTTGCCAGCACCACAGTTGCAGCTGCATCTATGAAAATTAAAATAATAGGTTGGAAAATATAAACTGAGCATTTCAGAACCTTCAAAAAGATCCAGGGTCAGATTCTCCAGTCAACACTGGCAAGGTTTCCCCTTGATGCTCTTATGCCAGCCCCACTTCTGCTCCCTGACTCAGGATTGTAAACAGGGAAGAGGAGATTTGGCTACGGTACATCCCATTGATCTCAGTTCCTTAAGCAGCTGGTGCAGTTTAGAGCCACCTCTGAACTGCTCTAAGATGTGTTGAGAGACCAGTCTGGCACTCAGCTATCACAGCTAGACCTGCAATTGAAGGATCTGGGGATCAAAGGTTTCTTAAAGTTCTCTTTGTCCATTTTTGTTCTAAAAAAAATGAGAAAAGGTTTCAGACAGGATAGGGAGTGGTTCTTTTTGCTATCAAAATGATTACAGCCCCTTAATATCTTAGAGCATCTTTTTATCTAGATTTTAAGTTTTGCTGCTTAAGAAAGTTATTTAACAAAAGACACTAAATTAGCAGTTCTCAAACTGTGGGTTAGGACCCCAATGTGGGTCATGACTCTGTTTTAATGGGATCGTCATGGCCCAAGCCCAAGCCCAAGCCCCACCTCCCAGGGCTTCAGCCCTTGGTGGTGGGCCTCAGGTTATAAACCCCCCACCTGGGGCTGAAGCCCTTGGGCTTCAGCTTTGGCCCACCAGCACGGAGTGGTGGGACTTAGGCTTTGGCTTCCGCCCCCTCCCCCTCTTAGGGCAGTTGGGCAGGATCAGGCTTCAGTCCCTGTAGTAATTTTTGTTGTCAGAAGGGGCTCACAGTGCAATGAAGTTTGAGAACCACTAAATCATCCAGAAACATTGCAAAAGTGATATGGGATATCACAGGTTTTTCACTTTTCAAAACTTTCTCTCTCAAATTAGAAACTAGGAGTGAGTAGCTTTCTTTACATTTCGTTTAGTTTTTGTAAAGTGAGTATAGCTATGATATGCTCTATGGTAGCTTTCTGGGCACAAAAACTGTGTTAAACATGGAAACAGGGCCGTCCTCAGGCATACGCAGCATATGTGGCTGCGTAGGGCACCACTACATTTGGGGTCCCGCCGGGACGGGTAAGAGTGGGGTTGGGCTGTAGACACGAATGCGCCGGCGTGCCATTCTGAGGGAGGGTACTGCTGGGGTCTCTGGGAAGGGGCGGTGGAACTCACCTGTGTGACTCTCTACTCACTGCCATTGAGGTGAGGTGGGCCGGGTGGCGCTGGGTCCAGTGGTATCCTTTGCTGCCTGGGTAACACATTCTTCTTTTCCTCTCCCCTGTGCTGAGCACAGCCCCCGCCTCCCCGTGGAGCGGCCAGCACCCCCGCCCCCTTCCGGCAAGGCTGGGTGGGGTGCAGATGTGTGGGCTGTCTGGCTGCGTGCTGAGGAAGTGACTCACTTTCTTGGCAGCCAGCCCGAATGCCTCACTCCAAGTGACCACACTGGCTGGAATGCGCACAGCTGGCTGGGCTGGGGAGCGCGTCTCTCGCCCGGTAGGTGCTGCACCCTTGCAGGGATCCATCCGATCCGGGAGGAGCCATGCAGGGTAGGAGGAGCTGCCGCTGCCCCCCAGGTTCCCCAGCCCCGAGATGCTGCACTTCACCGTGGTGCCAACGGCGGTGTCCGGTGACGTGACCTGACCTGAGGGTTTGCTGCTGTTATTGCCACTCTGCACCCCAAGAGGTAGATTTTGGGGTCCCACGGCTTTCCACCTATCCCTTCTACTGCAGCTATTGGACCAGTAGGCCAGGGTGAGCCATGATGAAAGCGGTACTGTGTTGCCATTGATCAGCTTTGAGCATGAACATGTTGTTAGCAATAGAACATTATTATCAGATCAGAGCTATTTTTAATTGTTTTTTATTTTTTATAACTGATTATTTTTGTGTTGCTAAGAGCAAGTCGGGCATAGGGGCACCAGTTCAATAATATTGCATAGGGCACCATAAATCCTAAGGACGGCCCTGCATGGAAAGACAGATTCTACTGTTTACCCTGATATGGTATAATGTGCATGTGAAAGCAGAGTAAAATTTTACCATCCTGTTGAAATGCTCTTTGTGGACTTGATATTGCTTTCACTGCATTCAATGAGAGCACAGTTGGAATCTGAGCCACTGAAGTATTAAAGTCTTACTCAAACATTTCCTCGGCCAGTCTATACACTGGTTCAAAATTACACTCTCAGTTATGCTGCTGTACAAACGAATTAACTCCACTGAAGTCAATGGAGTTACGCTGTGTTTATACCAGTGTAATAGCAGCATCCAATGTGTGGAAAAATAATTGCTGAGATAAAAGGTAGGGAGCGTTCTATTATTTTGTCTAAGTAATAGCTTAATATCACTTTGTTCTCTGAAAATTGCTGCAAAACTTGCTATTTCTTGAATCTTCCACAGCACTTGCAGGGCTTACATATGTGCAGTGGGTGAGACATCTGGTTTGGAACAAAGCCATTTTTTAGCCAGGAATAAACTTCAGTTGCTCTTCAACCGCAAATAACAGACTGAGGGTAGGGATGAAAGCTAAGTAAACGTTTAATAATGCAATATCAAACTTGATTACCACAGTAATAGCTTACAGGGCATATGATTTCATTACTTCTCCAGAACACATGGAATTTGACAGCTTTTAATTTTTGTAGCCACTGGGTTGTGGTTAACTAGGCATGATTTACTATCTTAGAACAAGATTGTGGCCTCTTACAACCTATACAGGATAGTAAGGGGGCATAAAGTACCTCCTTATGTCCCTGTACCACCTACCTGCATTAGGTTAGTATGAAGCAACCTCCACAGAGCCGCTTCTGACCCTTCTATGCAAAAGGACAGGGAATGGGCGGTGCCTGGGCTCTGTCTCCATAATGTGTACTAGAGTGCTGGGAGATGTACACTGTGGCAGGTGTAGGGCAGAGGGTAAGTTCCCTCCACCCCCTTCTATGTAGGGGGGAACCAGAAGACAGAACTCTGATTTTCTGGTTGGGGCTGCCCCTGGGGCAGTGCAACCAATGCACTGTCCCCATACATTGGACTTGTGCCAAAGCCAGGATTGAGCCCTGAGCCTGCCAGATGCCTTTGTATTCCTTAAACAGTGTGATGGGCTTTGACAACAGCAAAATAGGTGATTGGCCCAACTGGTTGAAATATTTTTGGATACTTAGTAAATTAGAGATGTTTGGAAGACTATCCTTCAGTAAATATGTGGTTGCTGCCATTGTAAATTATATCATTTCTGATAATACATTTGAGAAATATTATATATCCTGGAGGAGTGGTGTTAAAATAATTTGTTTCTGGTGCTTGGCAACATGGCCACAGGTAAGATGGGTATTTGGGGTGTGTAACAGTATACTGACCCTTCAAGGCTGAGCAAGGAAGACTCCATGGCCATGCTACTCTGATCCAGGAGTTGTCTCTCAGAGGTATTTACACTCCTAACTTCCAGTGGTTTAAATAGGAGTTAGGAGCCTAAATACCTTTGAGGATCTGGGCCAAAGAAAATAATCGCTGAGAAAGAAGAAGTGGTCCTGGGGTGACAATTTACGGGTTGGAAGAGAACATAGGCTTCTGACTCCGTCTAGGGCTTGGAATGAGAACCTTGAAGTGTGTTGGGGGAAGGGTCCTCTCTTTCTTAGCCAAAAGGACTTTTGGGAAATGTAGTCCCAGGCGCTACAGGGATTTGCAGACTTCCACAACAAAGCATGCTGGGAAGAAGGACAGGATATAAGCAGCTTCTTTGGTGAAGGCAGGAGAGAATGAAAAGAGAGCTGGAGGGGTTGCCAGTTGTTTCTGACCTCACTGAGTTTGCACACTGTATATTAGGAGGAAATACCATAGTAGAAAAAAGGGGGGGTCATACATGTATCCCCATAATGTGAGGTTATGGATGCACGTGTATCTACGTGGTTTGCACATGTTCCCCCCATAACGTTAAGGAACCTGTATTCGAGGTGGAGTAAAGGTACAGTTTGTGGAAATGGTGAATATCCTGCTGTTTATTTCTTTGCATATGATGTATGTGCATGTGTTGATATGATTTAATGTGTATAATATGTGTGTGTTTAATGTGCCCCAGACCCCAAGTGATAAAATTTAAATTCCTGTGCATGCCCCTGCCTTGTTGTTCTGAAGGCCATGAGATCCCGAGAGACTATGGAAGAGCTAAGTAACAAGAAGGAATTACAAACAAAGTAATCACAAAATCCTAAAAGCAGACTGTTATCTGAAGGTGTAGTAGAGAGTCATGGTCCTCTAGTGATGACCCTGTGTCACAGTAGGTCACCTGATGTTTATGTGTATCTAAAAGTAGCTGTTGTTCTTGTGAGGGTGGACTAGACAAGCTCAACTTGGACAGCTGCATATCTTCTTTCATAATATTTTGTGCAGCATGATATGGATCTTGATAATCTTCTGCAGTGATCCATTATTACCATAAACACATCCCCATGGTCAAAGGAAACTCTAGGTGCTGTGCAGTGGCATAGGCTATGTCTACACCATCACTTTTGTTGGTAAAACTTTTGTTGGTCAGGGGTGTGAAAAAACACTGACTGACAAAAGTTTCACTGACAAAAGCACCGGTGTGGACAGTACAATGTTGGTGGAAGACACTCTCCTGCCAGCATAGCTACCATAGCTCTCTCCCACCAGCATAGAGCGGCCACACAGGAGATCTTACAGGGGCACAGCTGCACCAATACAGCTGTGCTGCTGTAAAGTCTGTAATGTAGACATAGCCATAATGAGTGTAACAGACTTATTTGGAGTGGTGTTAGTCTACTATACAGATTTGATTCTGGGAGCAGAGATATTGAGATACTTTTTACCAGAGGTCCCAGGCAGGGAAGACAGTAACACAACAGTCAATGCATACTGTGTCCTTGTTAAACACACATAACCTGTAAAGTTACCATTAGAATTGTTACACTGAGTAAAACATTTCAGCCTCCTTTCCTTTATTTTCCAGGCACTTGACAAGCAGAGCTCCTGAGGCTCTGAAGTGAGTCATGTGGAAGCCAGTTTAGCTATAGTAAATAAAGGCCTTATAATAGGTCCATTGAACTGTGATGACAGCTGCTGCTAGGAGTTATTAAAACGTGTGGTAAGTGCTGTGCGATGGAACAGGAAGAAAACAAGGAAAAACATGTTTAAGTTTGCAGGGAGTCAAGTCAGGTGAGGACTCCAACATTCCAGGAAAGAAATGGTACAGAGGAGACGGTATGTCACAACTTATGGCATAAATTGTAAATGGTTTCTGTGGCCTAGATGTACATGTAGAACTGCTCTACATGTAAAGAAGGTTTGAAGCAGAAGCAGTAGCTGAATCGCTACTGTATACAACGGGCAAATTTGAGGTGTAGCACAACACTGGCCATAAGAATTGAATATTCCAGCATCTGCATCAGCTTGTTTGTTTTTGTAGTTCTCACTTCAGCAGTTAGAAAAAATGCTTCAGCCATTGGCAGGATGCGACAGAGCCGCCATATCGGAAATGGGTGAGCTAGATAAATGCTCAGATCAAACAAGTGACAATCAAAGTCAAATGGTTTGCCCCTGTGCCAGACCGGTTAGTTCAAGTTAATTGTGTTGGATTAGACTGGTTGAGATTTTGGGCCAGAACCTGTAGCTGAAGACAGTGTATCTACAGTGACTTGCACTAGCTGAGGGTCTGGCCCTTTATTTTGATTTCAAGTCAGTGCATATTATTGTATGACACTTCAGTGCCTATTGATAGATGCCTTACAAGCATATTCAGTAGTTGTAAAAAAATAAACATGTAAGATCCCGATTGACTTACTACTTTCTTACTTTCTGCAATTATGAACAGTTTAATGAAAACATTTCATACACACAGTGTTGTGTTATTGAAATATGTGAGAGCCACACAGAGCAACAGGGAAGGCTTTTAAAAAGTTGAAACAGGGACAGGTTTGATTTTTTTTTAAGAGACAAAGGCAGTGTTAAAAACAATTAAAAACAGGTGGCAAAACCAGGAATCATGCAGCATTTTAAAATAGGTTTCAGAGTAACAGCCGTGTTAGTCTGTATTCGCAAAAAGAAAAGGAGTACTTGTGGCACCTTAGAGACTAACCAATTTATTTGAGCATGAAGTGAGCTGTAGCTCACGAAAGCTCATGCTCAAATAAATTGGTTAGTCTCTAAGGTGCCACAAGTACTCCTTTTCATTTTAAAATAAAGGTAGAAAAAATCAATATACAGTAAGCAACTTTGAGAATTTTGAAAATGTAAAAAATTTTC